TGTGTGTGTGTGTGTGTGTGTGTGTGTGTATGTCTTGACCATGCCTTACGCTTTCATCATTTGAAAACTAAAAGTCTTCCTGGTCCACCTCAATGATTACGAGAACAAATTGTACACAAAGGAAGAACCAGCAATGGCAGACGAGTACGAGGAAAAATAAGAGATGTCAGCTCGGAGTAGTGACTATACTTCGGTCAAAAATTCGTGGCGCGACGTATTGTCAAATAGATCTAATATCTCCTCAACTATTGAACATAGTTTTTCTCCAATTTTTGCACAATGGCCAGTTTCAATTTGTCTTAACAGATCAACATTTCTGTAAACACCTACTAGCTGTATTCTAAAAAATACCTTAATAAATACTAATAAAAAATCTAACTACGCATGTATATTAATATGGTTTCTAGATCTACAGATCTTTAAACATTTACAGCTGGGGCAATATTTCTTTTAATAGCAAGTTCGTCATGCTTTTCTAAAAGGAACAGTATTCTTATTGAACAAACGCTTTGAGAACCATTAGTGCAAAAAAATGTGTTCAATGTTTAAATGATTTTTCGGTAACATTGATGACTTGTGACATAGGGCATAATATGCGTAACCAAAATGTATACTAGAAGCGGGAAGTGTTATGAACAATTCCATTTTCTGCGTGACAGAGATTTCAAGTATTTTATATAAATTTATGAAAAAAAAAGTTTTTGTATCTAGCCCCAAATGTTGTGGAAAAATATGATTTAGTTATGACAAATAATTGTTACAAGCTGCTGTGCAAAGTATGGATGACATTGATTCACCTGAAAGAGATATTGGAGGATAAGTTGCGCCACGAATTTTTGGCCGCACTATAATCTCCCCTTATCTGCTCTGATGCGGAAATCAATCACCAGTTGTTTTGAGGTCATGTGATGCTGTTGTTTACGCGCATTTTAAAATGGTGGATAGCAACAGCCCACCAGAGGGGATAACAAACCCTAAAAAACGCTCAAAATTTGGAAGAAAAAGGGAAATCATCGAACTGCAAAAAATGTCAGAGCACTTGATCGGTTTCCTTTGCAAACAAATTAAATATTTTGAAGCGACTACTGAGGACGAAAGCAAGGTTTTATTAGCATGATAAGCCTCAGTACCAAAGGCAAAAGGAATACAGCATACTTGCATCTCTCACATCAGCGGACAAGATGAAGTAGAGACGTCTGCGCGAGACTGAATGTGAAGTGAAACTCCTTCAATATGACTACTACTACTACTTCATTAGAGTGGAAAGGAGAGGAGATGCTCTTAACAGTCCTCATCTGCTCCCCTGCACTTCTACCAGTATTTGGCATGACGAAGGCGGTATCCATGTCTTACTCGTTTCTCATAAATTGGAAACGCTTAATGCGGCATTAAGGCCTTATTTCATTTTTTTAAGCCTTGGAACAACCAAAGAATCGTAGATAAAATATCTTTCAGCATTTCAAAGCCCCTCTCTAATAACATTGTGATGGTGAATAATTTTTCTTTCGTTGTTCCACTGTCGGCTACTAACCAGATCATCGCATTACATTTCTAAAACCTTGCTTCTCATTCTTTTCATCAATATTCTCGGTGGTACACAGTTTTAGTTTCGTTGTATGACTTCATAGTTTGTTCTTTTTTGCGTTCCCCTGCTAGATCTAGATCTCGACTGCTCTAGTCCTGTCAGAATTTCTTCCCGTAGGAGCGTCCTCGAGAATCTTCATTGTGATCAATTCGCCCTAAAAGGATGTTATTTATGGATGTCGTCAACCCAGTTTGAGCACTTGCTGCTCATGCAGAGTAATTTGTTTGGAGCATATTTTCTTTTTCTTATATGGCATTTCAACTTTGTGATGTGTTACGTTTCGACATGTTATTTTTACATTTATTTTGAACTTGCTATGCACTGTTGTACTCTAAAATGTATTATTGTATATTTGAACTATTTATGTGGGGTAAAACTTTCTATATGACATTAATTTGATCTTTTAATATGGCATTTGTATTTCTTACGTGTATATTTTTATTTGAACCACCCCCCCCCCCTCAACTATTTTATTATTATTACCCATGCAGACCATAGAACACTTGATCAGAATCGTCCTTTGCTTCCGAGGAAGCATACACTGCAACGACCGATTAAGCGCTCAAACACTGGCAACCTGGTTGGCGGGTGCTCTGGTGTGGTTTGCTCCTTCTTTCCTATGAAACCTCTATCACACTTATCTCCCCTTCTGCCTTTTTATGTTTGTTACTCTCTTGTAACACCTCTAATCTCCTGGCGCTCATATGACCTCGTGCAGTTGCGAGAGCCGTAAAACTAAACTGAAAAGATCTTTCGCTGTCAACAGGCGGGTAACAATTTCCACCTCGGTAAATGTTAGTGAAGAGCCTGCCCCAAGGATACAACGTCGGACCCCGGTCGGATTCGAATCTGTGACCTTTCAGTTACGAACCCAACAGCTTGGCCACTAGACCACCAACACCACCGAGTACTTTCACATTGACACACACTATATAAACATAACACCCTCTTACTGTACAGAGACACTCTAATGTAACCATTCTGCTGGAAATCACACACACGCACACACACGCACACACACACACACACACATACACACACGTACACACATACGTACACACATATACACACATACATATACACAGAGAGAGGGAGGCTCATTTACACACACACACGCACACACACACACACACACACACACACACACACACACATACACATACACAGAGAAGAAAAGACTCTTTTACACACACATACAC